AGCCCCCCCAAAAAAAAATGATGGCTCAAACTATCTTAAAGTAATGGAGAACGTAATAGAAAAATTTGCCAAAGATCTACCATAAACAACTAAAAATTTGGTATAAATGACAATATGAATGGAAAATTATGTTTGTACTCCTAACAAAAAAATAATAAAATAAAAAATGATTATGATGGACATTGCATAAGTTAACTACTTCACCATTTCTATATATAATAGAATCTACCACTTATTATTTTTTTTTCCAGATCAGATTGTTGTTTTGTTTTTATTTATAAAAAAAATCAAATATATCAATAAGCATTTTTTATAATTTTTTTAAGTTATCTCTCATAAATTCATAATTTTCTTTACGATAAATAATTAATGCAGCCTTATTTTGATTAAATATAAAGATATTTTAATTTAATTTTTTTATTTTTAAACATAACTATTATAATTAAATAATTTTTTTTCAAACTATATAATACAATTTATATATATATAGAAATGGAGGGAGTACCCGTTTGTATGCTTTCATTATTCATATGCCGTCTCTTTCAGGCAACCCAATATGCTGTTAATGTCATCTTAGACACAGTGACGTGAGTGACATGAATGCCAAGACTTTGGCATTTTTATGGAAGTGATAGAGTAAGCAATTACATGAAACTTCGCTTGGTTTCAAAAGGTATGTGCTGTTGATGTCATCTTAGACAAGATGACTTAAAGATTTTATAGGAACTCCGAAAAAAAAATGTTGATAAAATATTCTCATAGAATCTTATCATTTTTATTAACTGAATTCATAGATTTTAATTATGCAATTTTTTTAAGAGTTTATATTGTAATTATATATGTATATCTTTTGTTCAAATTTATTATCATGTTAAAATATAAAATGACATGTTAAAAATATGTATAGTCACCCAATAAGGCTTATAGAATTATTAAATGTCTATTAAGAAGACTCATCGTTTTCCTTTATTTGATTTACAATTGTGTCGAAGCATGCCTGATGACTACTAAGACAAGTCACTATCAATAAATCAAGAAATTTGAGCTGTCTTATTTCTAAAATCGGTCAGAAGCGACAAATTTAAATAAGAAATCAATGCAGGGTTGAAGACTGTTTATATGGAGAGTTTGTCCAAATCCAATTTTTCAAAAATAGACGACAATCTAAACAATTGTGTGTGTACCTTTTGTGATACATTTAGATGGAAAAATATTTAAATAGACCCAATACGTCATGTTATTTATAATTTATTTAATTAAAATATTTTAAATAATTTAAACAAAATATTGTGTAATATTTTTTTAATTGATTTTATTTTTGTAATATAATATATATTTAATTTCTTATCTTTTCTCTCTCTACTATAATTAATATCATAGTTAATTTATATTTAATATCATTTAAATGTCATATTTTTATTGGATAAATTATAAATGATATAGTGCACTTAATCTATCAAAGAATTTCTCCGTTTAGATGAGTAAGTGTGCCTAATTAAGTAAAAGAGAAATATTTAAGTAGACCGAGTGTACCACATTATTTGTGGTCTACCCAATAAAAATATAATAGTTAGATGACATTAAATATAAACTAATTTTGATATTAATGATAATAGAGGAGAAAAGGCAAAAAATCAAATATGTATTCTGTTATAATAATAAAATTATTTTTAAAAATTTCACACAATATTTTATTTAGATTACTTAAAATATTTTAACTAGACGAATTACAAATGATATGGTACACTTGATTTACCTAAATATTTTCCTTAAGTAACAACTTTCAAAATGGGTCCCATTTCCCCCCCCCAAAAAAAAACAAACAAAAAATCAACATGGGTCCCCGTAAGAAAATTATATAGACTAGAGGTGGGATATACATTGAAATATCGAGAATATAAGATGTGATGGTGTAACTAATAATGCAAAGACCTTGTCAAAAGTAAATAAATTAGCATTATTGATCACATCATAATTGAATGTCTTCGGTTCAAACTTAGTAATTAGTGTTAACAATATTATATGCCAAAAATTTGAATAATCTTATTGACTTCTTGATATTTTTAATAAGACATCCACTTCGTTATTAAAGATTAAAGATTATATTTCTTTTCGTATGTACATCTAAGTACTGCAACAAAAACAAAAATTAGCAACATAAAGATTCGACGCTAATTCTTAAGGATATAATCCGTTGCTATTAGATGAATAAAATTTAGAAAAATTCTTCTTCTTTATTTTTTTGCCATCAAAATTATTAAAAGTTTATTGTACGTAATTTATTAGAAAAAAAGTTCAATGAATGATCTCTAGTTTTGTCACACACGGAATGAGTCATGAACAATTCTTTTGTAAGTACCTTGATGGTGAATTAATGGATGAAACCTCATTATCAATGTGAAAACCTTATTAACAGACAATATGTAAATATCTTTATAAGGATTCAATGAACTTAGAGACATGTCCTAATTTTATTGAGCTTTTGAGATCAAGCACACCTAAAATTTTGACTACATATAAAAAAAAAATTGAGTCATGAACAAGGAGTAGATGAGAATTGTCTTATGAAAAACATTCAAAATAAGTCCCGATTATGCAGTTCATGTAATTCATGAAAGCTGCAGGACATTCATCAACTCGAATGACATTATCAAGTACTCAAAATAACCATATCCAGTACGAAGCATTATTTTAGACACATCGGCCGCATTCACCCTTATCTAGTGGTATTCAAATCACATATCAGTCTTCGAAAACACCAAAACTCCCACTACCCATCTGCCCTCTTGTTTAGGCAACCCAATGTACTGTCAATGTCATGTTAGTGATATGAATGGCATGGGTTCCCGGACGACTGTGGCGTCCTTTTATGATAGCGACAGGGTAAGCATTATATGAAGCTTCCCCTGGGTCAAAAACAATGTGCTGGCAGTTGATGTCATAATGACTTAAAGATTTTTTAGGAACTTTAAAAATAAAATACAAATTAAATATTCTCACCAAATTATGGAAAAAAAATAATTAAATTTTTTTAAATTTATAAATAATAATCTGATCTTTCAAAATATAATAATTTTAAAGAAGTCTCTTGAGACTTTTTATTAATTAATTTTAAATTAAAAAATTATTTTATTTTTATTGATAATTTGTATTTTTTTAATTTTTGTGATTCTTTAAAGAAAAATTATAATTCTTTAAACAAGAGTTGTAAATAAGGTTTATTATTTTGAGAATTTATTTTTTAATAATAAAAATTACAATTGACAAATTATGATTTCTTATTTAATTATTGTGATTCACAAAAAAGGTTGTGAATGAGATTTGTTATTTTCAGTAAGAGTAAAATTATCTTTTTACTAAAAAAGTTATTAACAAAGAGGTTCCTAAAAACTTTATTGAAATTATGGTATTTTAAAGGATTAAATTATCATTTATATAATTTGAAGGGACTTTATTATCATTTTTCTTAAAATTTTTACAATTTTCACTAAAAAAATTCTTAGATTTTAATTATGTGACTTCTTAATTAGGAGTTTGTACTCTCACACATACATATTTCTATAAAATTTGAATATATATATATATATATATTAATATTTTGTTCAAATTCATCTACATAAAATGAAAAAAAATCTATATAAAAATCTGTATGTATAGTCTCCCGAGGCGTATAAAATTATTAAATGTCTCTTAAGAAGACTCGTTTTTCTTTATTTGATTTACAGTTTGTCAAAGCACATGCTTGATGACTAAGACCAGTCATTATCAATAAATCAAGAAATTTGAATTGCCTTGTTATATTGATTTTATTACTTTCAATAATTGGTCAGAAGCGACAAACTAAAAAAAAAAAAATCATTGAACGTCCTTGGATGATAAAGGATGAAAGTTTCATTGTAATTGGTTTTTTCAGAAAGTATGTCAATGGATTAGAAAGGTTGAAAAATGAGAGAGAAAGCTTACCCAAATAATTAAAACCTTTAAATTTATCTCTAAACCACTGAAAAATCTTACCCTAGCCCCCCCCCCCCAAAAAAAAAATCATAACTCGCTCCTTCTATTTCTTCTTCTTTCTTTTTCCTTTTCCTTTTCGTGTATGAAACTATGACATAATAGCTTCAAGACTTCCTATTCGACATCGGTTACAAGGAGGTGTTTTTTATTCAACAGTAGATGTCTCCCCTTCTTTTGATTTGAATATTAATAATTCATAAATATTACATTAATTGAAATTTTAGGATATCAATTATACCTTAAAAAAATTTATCTTTAGTCCTAATAAAAATTACTCAATTAACAGTCAGCATAAATGAAACATTACTATATAAAAAAATTAACAATAGTCCACCGTTTTTAAAAACTTTCAAGAAAATATTTGTACTAAATTAAAAATATCAATTGCATCCAACGAAAAATTTTCGAGACAAATTTTTCATTTAATTTTTTTATGCAAACAAATATAATAACTTCTTTTTGGTTTTAATTTTACCTTTACGACCCTAAAGGTGCCCCCCCTTTTTTTTTTTTGGCTAGAATAAAAGGTCCCAGTTATAGATGCACAAGTACATAATTTATATCATATCTATCAAGTCCTCAATGGGAATATTGTTTTGTTAAAAAGAAAAAAAAAAGGTACCATACCGCGCTGCTAAAAATCGTAATTTTGACAACCTCATCACTCTGGTATTATCACGCAGGGAATATATCTGGTTCAATGGTTCAAATTTTATTTATTTATTATTATTACGATTTCTTTTTTAAAATGTTTCAAAAGTTTACTGTAAACCTAATCCTTTTTCCGGAAAAAAAGAGACGCACACACACACATGCATACAACACATGTCAATACTAAGTTCAAATTTAGGACTTTTTTTAAGAGAGGGGTAGTGTTGTCAACAACTAACTATTGACTACTTTTTTAAAAAAGTTGACCAGTCATATATGATCTATTTTATCCACATCGCTTGTATATTGCCAATTGAGATCCAAATCTGGGTCCCATATCTCAGGGACAATAATTGATTAACATTCTCCCTCTTTCTAGGATTCCTATAAGTTCCTCTGTAATGTCATGAACTGATTATTATTTCCAGCTTCAATGCATTGTTTCTTCAATGATGAAGTTTTCATTCCAACCCATCGTTGCTTTTCTCGGAGTGAGCTTCGACTTGCTTTCTTTCTTCTTCTTCTTCTTTTTTTCCCACCTTTTTCTTTTCCAATTAATCTAATGCAAATGAATATTTACATATTTACATATTATATATGGATATATAAAAGTGCAGGTTGCATTACTGCTGGCAACGCATGCTGCCTTACCTCCTGAGCTTTACTGGAAGTCCATGTTTCCCACTACTCCCATTCCTAAATCATTGGCACATCTTCTTCCCCCTCATGGTTAGTAATCTACTGTTTGTTGGTATTTTTTCTCCTTCGAATTTCGATCTTCACTTGACAAATAATATTGTACAGCAAGTTTTTTTTTCAGATTTGGATCAGCAGTAGCCTAAATCTACTCACTTAATGAGTGTTCTAATTATAACTAATAGATTTCACCAATACATAAATGATTAGAACGCTGCTCACATATACTGTCCTTTTCAAAAATTTAAAATTTGATACTTTTTGAATATCATATTACAAAACCTCTATTTTGATTAAATCTAACTGTTGGTATCATGTCACAGGGACACTCATTGAGTGAGTAAATTTATGCCACTCACTAAATCGGAATTCGTTTTGCTTTAAGTGCTAATAGTTACTATTGCTGGCAATTTAGTCAGGTTGTGGCACCACCATCCATGGAGGGACCGAATACAGACTCGAAGATAGATCATGCTTCGACTATTGTTATAAGAACAATGGGAAAAAGCTAGACGATAACGCCAACACAGCTCTTTTCTTCTTGGAGGAGGACTTGAAGGCTGGTCACAAAATGAACTTGCTCTTCAAGCAAGCCTCCAACCAAGCATTCTTTTTGCCTCGTGAAATCGTGAAATCCATTCCCTTTTCTTCAAACAAGGTATGTAGTGTCGGAATCATTCTACCAGGTCTGTGAACAAATAATTCATGCATTTATGATTCATTACTGTTGGAATTTACTGTTCCACCCTTAATGGAAATCGGGTCATCATGTATGTCATATCAATCAGTAGAGATTTGGCATATTCTGGGTTTATGACAGATGACCGAAAATCAAGAATTAATGATGAATTGATTCCTGACTGGGTTCAAAACAAGAAGTCTTTCCCCACATTCATTGTTATTATTCCATCATATTATCCTCTCAATTATGACAATTGGATTTTCCTTTTTTGCAGTGGTCTCCCCACATTATAAATAGATATAGGTGGTCGAAAGAACTCACACCAGATCGAGCACTACTCTTAATGTTCATTCTTCCTATTTCTCTCTTAGGTGTATCTGCTACGCACCTTAGATAGGATTTTAGTAGCATGATCTTGTGTGGGTAGTTGAGTAGACTCTACTTTGCTTGGATGTAGTAAGAATCTGACCCTACTTCATTTTTTTGATTTCTTATTTATTTGTAATATTCCTTTAATTACTGACAGGTGGCTGAAATATTGAACGAGTTTGCTGTGAAGCCTGGGTCAATAAATGCTGAGGTTATGAAGAATACAATTGAACTTTGTGAGGACTCAGGGATTAAAAGAGAGGAGAAGTATTGCGCAACATCTTTAGAATCCTTGGTTGATTTTATTACTTCCAAGCTTGGGAGACACGTGGAAGCTTTGTCTACAGAAGTGGTGATGGAAACAAAGAAGCACGAATACACAATAATGCATGGAGTAAAAAAGGTGGGAGTAGAGAAAAAAGTGGTGGTGTGCCACAAGCTTAGTTATGTGCATGCTGTGTTTTACTGTCACAAAATAGAGAACACAGTCGCCTATACGGTGTCGTTGAAGGGGGCTGATGGGAGCAAAGTGAAAGCTATAAGTGTATGTCATAGAGACACGTCACAGTGGAATCCAAAACATTTAGCCTTCCAAATGCTAAAAGTCAAGCCAGGGAGTGTTCCTATATGCCACTTTCTTTTTCAAGACACCATTGCGTGGGTTCAAACACAAATTAGGTGATTTCACAAATTAGATGGTATGTTGAGAGAGAGAGTGTGTATAAGAAAATCAGGATTTAGCGAGGACCATATTCCTCGCTAAATCAAATCCATTCATCGCTAACATTAATTTAGCGAGGAATTATTTTTCTCGCAAAATACATAGTTAAATGATGGGTCTCTAATATTTAGTGAGGGTTAATTTTTTCCTCGCTAATTAGTGAGGACTTTTATTTTCCTTTCTAATTTTAGCGAGGAATTAGCAAGGACTTATTATCCTCTCTAATTTTAGAGACGAATTAAATGCCTCGCTAATTCCTCGCTAATTGCATGTTTTAGCTAGGACTTTTTGTGAGGGATATTTTCCTCGCTAAAATTAGCGAGAAACATGTCATCGCTATTTCCTCGCTAATATATTATAATTGGCAAAAAAAAAAAATCAGGACAGCAAACAATTAGAGATTAATTAATTTCTCGCTAATTCCTCGCAAATCAGATTAGTTGGAGAGAAATGATTTCCTCACAATTTCCTCACTAAATTGCACATTGGTTGTGTAAGAATCAAAATTTGGATTATAAATAAATATTGTTTAATCAAGCAATTAACTAAAAAATGGAATCTAAACAATATAATATAAGTGGTTCAATCTGTAATCCATCTATGAAAAGTCATGTCATAAGTGGTTCAATATGTTAACCACATATCAAAAGTCATACAATATTATAAGATAGTAGAGTAATAAACTCAAAAAGAGTTCTAAGTATCTCATACATATAAAATAAAGGAAAAACTTAGGAAATAACATAGTTATTTTCCACCATCATTTGGATCTGGTTGCTTGGAAGAATTTGCACTGCTAGCACTAATGCCACTCCCTTTACCCCCTTGTATTCTTCTTCGGCCTCTCCCTCTTGGCATAGCTAAATAGTAGATAGAAGCATAGACAATCAATTAACATATCAGCAAGAATACCAGGTTGAATATGATGCACAATGTCTTTTTTCTTCAATCTGACATCAAAAAAGCTTAACAGGGCAAGAATTAGCATGTGTTTCATACACTCAGCAACAGCATTTGGATTGCCAGGCATGTTAATGATCTGAATTACAAATCAAGGACCATAATTTAGCATGTAAATACCAACTCCTTAAGACTAGACAATTCTGCCTGAATCAGAAAAGTTGATATCTTAACTTGAATGCTATACTAATTGCTTAAGTAGATACAATATAAAAGTAATGAGGAAGAATTTAAGAGAATAGAACATGTATATACAAGGACTAAATAGCTGGAGATTGTAATTCATGACATTATACAAGCTGACACAGCATGTTAACAAGAGCAATGATGATTCATGACATTATACAGGAGGTGGAAATAGAGATATACGCATGCCAAAACTCTATCCAACGCATATATAACACCCGACTAAACAGACTGTTTTCACATCAGCAATAAACCAAATCATATAGTATTTGGCAGTAATATAATCAAATATATATATCCATAATAATTACAAAATCAATCTAAAACAAAATCTGGCATTTGGGATAAGTTAACTGTGGTTACTTCACTTCAAACTGAACTAATAACATTAAAATACCAGCTCACGATCTTCTCAGTCGGAGAACAGTACCAAATTTTAATCTACACAAATAAGATAAATTTCCAATAAATACCATATCAATCCCAAATTTCTTCTATCAATTTTAAATAATTAATTTCCTAAAAGAAGGATTCTGATTCAACCTCAAAAATATCTCTTTATCTTTCCAATCCATCCCCTCTAATCCTGCGAAAATACTAATATAAATTCCAAAATTCCTCATTATAGTCCAAACAATTTCCTTAGCCATAAATAGCCCAAATAAATCTCCAATAACAGTATATAACTTCTAGATTAGTCAAAAATGATCTGGAAATAACTTATCCGTTATCTATAAATCAATATCTAAAGAGCAAGAAACAAGTAAAAATAGTCTCAAAAGAAGACCTACTAGTTCAAAGCAGTCAGCATCACAAGTGATGAGTTGAGATTGATACATAACAGAGCTTGAGAAGAAAATAGGAAAAGAAGCATAAAGCTGACTAAAGGAAGAAGGTAAATCAAACATGCATCTGATTCCTAAGCTATTGGCAGTTGGAAAGATACATTAGAGTAAATCTTAACACTGACATACAGTTAGGAACTAAAAAAAAAAATTATATGATTTGGATGCTACAGGAAAAATTAAAGAGATGAACAGAACAGTTAAGAAAAGGATGTAACAGCAATGTAATAACAAGAAATTTTGAGCCTAAGGAAGGGATTTTTTCTGATATTTAAAAGAAAAAACATGAGGACAGTTGCACGCATATACACGAAGAGGAATGCATAGAGAACACAACAAGATGATAGGAAAGAGCTAAGCTAACAGTGCAAAGAAAAAACAAGAAGAGTAAATAGTAAACATATAAAAGAAGGATCTCAAAAGAAAAATGTAAATGTATAAGGAATATACAAGAAGAGTAAATAGTAAACATGTAATAGTAAACTACTCTATTCTGCCAATCACGATCTAGTCGCTTGTGGTGTGTGCGGAAATCAGTCGCTAGAGCGACTTTGGTTGTGAGCTCTCTTTTTTTCGCTCGGTCTAGCACTGTTAATTTTCGTTTGCTTCCTTTCTTGTGCATCGAGTTAGGTCTCTCCCTCATCCAGCTGTAATCTCGTCTTCTTCTCTCCCTATTCTGTTGGCAGTCACTTGGTCTTTCTTCTCTGTTGTTATTGATTTAGTGAGTAGCTTTAAACTTTTCTTCTTGCTGTTCTGTGCGTGTGTTTGCTGAGATGAATAAGGTTGTGAGTTTTATTTTTCCTTCCCTGTACTGTCGTGTATATCGAGTTTGAAGGGATGTTGATTGAAGCTGAAACTATAGAGAACAAGAGGATGATGGTTTAGGTCTGAAATTTATTTGAATTTGATATAATTATCAATGCTAAAAAAAAATTAGACAAGTGGTTGGGATTAAGAAGTTTCATTGAATGAGTTAGGAATTGATGCCCATTAAATGTTTGTTAAAAGATCTAAGAGAGGATCTTATTTTTGTTAGATAATTTAGTTTTGGGTCAAGTAATCTGAGAAAACTTTGTGATGTAATTGTGGATGTTTAAAAAAAAAACTTTAAATTATTTGGATCGACTATGTTGTGGCAAGGTTAGAAGGAAATTTAATAAAATTTTATTGTTTATTATGAGGAGATTGGAAGAGAATTGAAATTATGGTTTAAATAATAGTACTTGTAAGATGTTTGCTAATAGGCATATTAGAAGAAGTTTTGTTTGATTGTGATTTTTTTAAAAAAATTTATTAGTTCTTATGGGGACATACTCAGTTTGGGTATTAATTATTCATGAATTTAACCTGAATTATATGAAGAATTCTAATTATGAAACTATGGTGAGACAAATTACATTCTATGAAATTGTATGGATGATAATTAAAAATAATAATGTTTAAAGATTTGATTGGGAATGCCTTTGAATTGCTTGAGGAAAAAAAAGGGTGATAGGAGAACTTGAAATTTAGAGTGATTAATTATAGTATGTGTATGTATAATATTAATAAAGTTTTGTTGCTTGCACTTGACAAGAGTTGAAAAGAGTTTATCAAACTTGAATATGCCATTGAAATTTTTTTTTTATATTAGATAGGGCATTTAGAGGAAAGAATGTTTGATTGGGTTCTAAGAAGTGAATTTTAGTACTCAGAAACACTTCAGATAAGTGAATAGCATTCCAACTGCTTTACCATAAAATTATTTCTGAAATATTATATTTATATAAATCATTTTAATAACAACTATGTTAAGTATTGAATATTTTGTCATTGAAATTCTTATCTTGGGAAATTATAAAGAGGTGTTGAAAGATAATTGAGTTATGGCATGTGTATGTGTTTTTATTTTCTTACGATGAATACTTTCAAAAATTAATGAGATTATTTTTATCAACTCTTGTTATTTTGAGTTATGCAATAAATGCCAAATATGGATTTCAGTTACAAAATTTTATCTTGGTAAGTTTTAATGCTTAAAATTATTCATGTGAGTTTGATTTTGAGAATGTGAATTGTATTTTATAACGATGATTTTTTTACATGTTTGAAAATGGATTGATGGGCATTTTATACAGAACATTGGTTGCTAACGACAGTTCCGTTAGCCCTTGGCGTACCTTGGTTACTAACTAGTTAGTTTGAATTTTGTGAGCTCTGCTTTCACGTTTATTATTTGTTGGTCTCATATTCGCGTTTGTTTTTGTGGCTTCAAGCTGTTTTTAGTTAGCATTACCCTCGTGGACTATGTGTTCACGTATGTTTTGTGGCTTCGGTTGCATTTGATTACTTACTTTCATGGATTGTATGTTCACATTTGATTTCGTGGCATAAACCACATTTGATTATTTACTCTTGTGGACTGTGTGTCCACATTTATTACTTGTTTTGATAAATTTCCATAATTATGAGATTTTAATTATTGGATGAATATGTTTTTTTATTGGTTTTGATTAACAACATATTATTATTTTTTTATGCAGTTATTTTCTTTGTTGAAAATAAATGATAATGACGTTTGATATGATGCTTTAATAAATTATGATTTTATTTAACGTTATATAGAATCCTCTTATGCCAAATTTTATTAAATATTTGGTTGTGAAAATTGTCATATTTAGCACTTATAATTATTCTATATTTTTTATATGAATTTAATTATTTATTGTTGGGATGCTATTCACTGAAAATTTATTTTGGTCCCAGACTAATTAGTTGATACTGATCTCACTATTGACCTTTGAAGGGCATACAACTATTTTGGGTGAAACTTTGCTTAGCATTATCTCCTTTGATGTAGATATTCGAAGGTTAGATGCTCCACATAACCTATAGATAGATATCTATTTTGATATATGTTGTCTGCTAGCTGGAAGGAGTTAAGCTCCTAATTGATATTATATTTTATATAAAATAATGTGTTATAAAATTTTTGGGATATCCTATTTATAAGGGAGGTTCTGTCAAAATTTCTACAAAAATATTAAAATATTTTATTATAATAATTTTTTTCAATACATTATAATTTCTATTAAAATGAAAAGATTTTTTTTTTCAATTTAAGACTTTCAAAAATGTGCAATATAGTTCGCACTCGTATCGATCACCCTCTATTTTTGAGGCATGACAAAAAATTTGCCAAAGATCATCCATAAACAACTAATTAAATATTCAAACCCATAAAGTTAAGGTACATTGATGACCCAAAGAAAGGGTAGCCTAATTCATCCTTAAATATTTAAAAATGGTGTAATGTAACTTCTCTATTATTATATAGATTGTCAATTTACCCTTAGTGAGGAAAAAAAATTACATGTAACATTCCAAAAATTACATGTAACATTTCAAAAATTACAAATAAATCCCCAATAAGAAAATTAATTTTAATTAAATCTTTAAAATTATGAAATTATTATATACAAAAAGGTTGGGTTGTTTATAGAACATAATAATATTGTATAATCCATATAATAAATCCCACCTAATGCAATAAAGGTTTATGGTTGTTGTTGTCGTCTCTTGTATCACGTAGGGAAAATTACGTTGAATGGTTCATATTTTATCAATTTATTATTTTTATTACATTTATTACTTTTTTAAAATGTTGACCATTCATATATGATCTTTGCATGGTATCCACACATGGCATGTATATTTTCAATTGATATCCAAGCCTGGGTCCCATATCTCTTGACAATATATGATTAGCACTCTCCCTCTTTCTATGATTTCTATAAGTTCCTCATTAATATCTAATATGACATGATAATTTTTATTAATAAAATAACTAATAAATAATAATAGGGAATTTTTTGGTTAAAAAAAGATTATGTAAAAATTAATTTTAATCTTTTAAAAGTAAGCGGAGTTTTGTACACCTGCATCTCAAAACTTCAGGGAAATATTGTATATTTTCGATATATATGATTATAATAAAATATTATAAAAAATTTTCCACTTCTCAAATTAAATATTAATTTTTACTTTGTAAACGATAAAAATGTCAGTTTCTTTAATAATATTTTCAATACAATTTTTTTATATTAAGATAATTCTTTTTTATTATAATTTTATAGTTGTTTTATTGTTTTTATGTATTTAATTTCAATGAATTTTTTATTAATTTAATAAAATGGATTCAAAAATATTAATATTTATTTATATATGTCTTGCCCCAACTAACAAAATTTTCTGGGTTTGTCACAATCTCTCTTCTATCATATGGGGAAAAAATCTAGTTGAATGGTTCATATTTTATTATATTATTATTATTATGTTTAATTAATTTATTACCTTCTAAAAAAGTTGACCATTCATATATGATCTTTGCATGGTTTCCACATATGTATATTTCCAATTGATATCCAAGTCTGGGTTCCATATCTCTTGACAATATTTAATTAGCATTCTCCCTCTTTCTATGATTCCTATATAAGTTCCTCTTTAATTTAATATCTTAAACTGATAATTATTTGCACCTTCAATACATAGTTTCTCCAATGATGAAGTATCTACTCCAACCCATCGTTGCTTTTCTTGTAGTGAGTTCGCTTTCTTTTCTTTTGTCTTTTGTTTTTCACTTTTTTCTTTTCCAATGAATCTAATGCAATTTTATTTTTGACCTGAATCTAATGCTAATGAATATTTTTACATATATATTGAATATATGAAATATTGAAATTGCAGGTTGCATTATTGGCGGCAACACTTGCTGCCTTATCTCCTGAGCTTTACTGGAAGTCCATGCTTCCTAGTACTCCCATGCCTAAATTTATCGCAGATCTCCTCCACCCAGCTGGTTAGATTGTACTCTTCATTAGTATTTTTCTTAGAATTTAAATCTTCACTTCACAAATGACACTTCCTCCGTTTCAAAATTGTATGTCTTTTGAGATATTTGCGCACAGATTAATTAGAAATGCAGTTTATACATAAGAAAGTGGCAAAATGAACATTATTATCAACTTTTCCCCAAAAGCATGACAAATACTCTCTCCATTTTCATGTATAGTCAATGATGGGTCAGGTGAGAGCACCACCATCCGCAGCGGAGGACATTGCCAATTCGACTTTTGTTATGCTGACTCTGATGATACCAAACTCCATGGTAACCCCAACACAACTCTCTTCTTCTTGGAAAAGGATTTGAAGGCTGGTCACAGAATGAACTTTCTCTTCATGCATGCCTCCAATCAAGCATCTTTCTCGCCTCGTGAAGTCGTGAAATCCATTCCCTTTTCCTCAAGGAAGGTAGGTAGCGTCAGACTCATTAAGTCTACCATGTTTGTGAACACTGATATTCTGAAGAGTTAAAGACCATTTCTCCCATAAAATTTTTTTAGGAGCATTAAGTAGCTTGTACTGAAGGGCAATATGTCGCTTAAATAATTTTTTTCATCAGGAGGAAAATCACTCCTCTGTTAGAGACCCATAATCTCCGCTCCATTACCTGCTATGAGGCCCACGTAAAGTGACAGTGAGGCGTTCGAACTCATTTTGACCAACTGATGTGGGTTGAAGGGGCTAGAAGTTACAATGGTAATAGCAGGAACCAGGCCTGATGATTTTACTAGTTAAGTGGTGGCAACATGAGTTAGAACGCCTCACTATCATTATGTGTGGGTCTAACAACTATTCCAAATACGTTAGCAAACAACGGAGATGATGGGTCTCTGATGGAGGCAATTTTCCTCCTAAAAAATTGTTTGGCAGAAATATTGCCCCACCAATCAATACACAGTGCCCAACGCTCCTCAAAAAAGGGAAAAATGATCTGTAATCCTATTATGAAATTAAGATGGGAAAAACAGATAATTTATGTATTTATGATTCTTTATAACAGATGGCTGAGATATTGAACAAATTTGCTGTGACGCCTGGGTCAGTAAAAGCTGAGGTTATGAATAATACAATTCAACTTTGTGAGGAGTCAGGGATTAAAGGAGAAGAGAAGTATTGTGCCACGTCATTGGAATCCATGGTTGATTTTATCACTTCCAAGCTTGGGAAAAATGTGGAAGCTTGGTCTACGGAGGGGAAGAAGGAAACAAAGAAGCAAGAGTACACAATTACTCAAGGAGTGAAGCTGGGAGAGGCCAAAGTGGCTGTGTGCCACAAGCTTAATTATGTGTATGCTGTGTTTTACTGTCACAAAATACAGAACACAGTTGCCTATACGGTGTCGTTGAAGGGCGCTGATGGGAGCAGAGTGAAAGCTGTAAGTGTATGTCACAGAGACACGTCACAGTGGAATCCAAAACATTTGGCCTTCCAAATGCTGAAAGTGAAACCAGGGAGTGTTCCTATATGCCACTTCCTTTTTCAAGACACTGTTACGTGGGTTCAAAGGTGATTTCACATATTGGGTGAATTTCACTACTTACTCATTTAAATAAGAGTTTGTAGATGGTATGTATTATTTAAGTATCATTTAAATAAGCTTACTATTTATCGTTCTCTCTTACTGGTCATCACCATAAAAAGAGCAAAAACAACGTGCCCTTCTGCCTTTGGCATGCAATTTCAATCTTCTCCTTAGGCACAAATTTGATTCTGTAGAATGCGTTTAAATTATAATAGAAGTAAAAGAAATGTTTTGTACAAAACAAGAAAGTGAATCTCATTTAAGAGTATGTATTTATACAACTTAGCCAAAAAAAAAAAATTGATGGCCCAAAATATCTTACAGTAATAGAGTAATGGAGAAAACAATAGAAAAATTTTGTCAAACATCTACCATAAACAACCAAATATTCAAACCCATACATAAAGTTAAGTGTTAAGGTCCACTACCCTATATCCACCCGTAAGTACCTCGATTGTCAATTTGACCATTAATGAACAGGGAAAATTACATATAAGACTCAACAAATTACAAACACGAAAATTACATATAAGACTCAAAAAATTACAAACAAGTTTTTTAAAATACTCAATCAAAAATACATGTCACACTATAACATATTCCCTCCGTCTTTGTATTTAATGTTTTTAACCAAATTTCACATATTAATAAAAAATTATTATTTAGTTAAAATCACATAAAATCACAATACTTTTCTAGTCTTACTACCAATAATGTCATAATGAATATTAAGGTGGTGGTACGTAAATCACACAACTAATATTTTCTCCCTTTTCAAGATAAGCGTAAAATTATTTAATTATTTAAAAATATTATGAGACCTTTTATATTTAGACAAAATAAGCTTCTAGAAAACATTTTATATGAGGAAGTATAATTTAATCAAAATACTAATTTTAATCACTAATTCATATGGATGAGTAACGTTCTACCCTCATTTATCACTTAAGTTGAGCTAAAAGTAATCAAATTGAATCAAAGATTTAAACGAAGGTAAGCAACAAGTGAGGAAACAAATCTAAGCTATGGTTAATGTTAGTGGTAGTTTTAATACTCAAGTTGTGACACTTATTATAGCCTTGCTTACATCCTGATTAATGTACAGCTTTTCCCTTATATTGCAAATACTATATCAGTCTAGGTCTCTTGTGGGCCGTTTGATTCAAAGAATACGTGGGAATAGAATGATGTTTAAGACTAATTTGTTTGGGATGTTATCAAGGAAAGAGGATGCAAAAAGATAAAAACGTTTGGTTCAGACTTAAAAAAAAAACATGGGAATAGATTGTATTGTTGAACCAAAAGACAAAAATACCCTTGTGCATTGAAGAGAACCCTTAACATGTTCCAAAAATTAATAAAAAATATTACTACACCTTTCTATAAACACAGTGGCATGTATTTTACATAGAACCTATGGTCTTGCAAAGCAGTCGATCTGCAAAGCTAATTAAATATCTGTAAGTCTTGCACATTTATTCAAGAAGGCGCTGCATTAGTCATCTCGTCTTCAGGAACGAATGCAACCACTAGTGATGAATACCCGGTAATCTTTATATGAGCCTTGTATATCTCACCCCTTGTGAGTCCCTTTCCCATGCTTTGACTACACACACACACATATATATTTCCTTTGTTTTATCCAAATCAATAGGACCAAGCATTCTTGACTCTTTTCGTATTTCAGCAAATTGTAACATCCTTTATCTGACCCGACACTTGGCAACATGTTGAGACTTCTAAAAATTGCTAGGAGGGTTAGAACGCATTAGAATGGGTTTAGAGTGAAATAGAAGAGAAATCACAGTACTGTGGGTATTGCATAAGATAACTACAACTACGTTTTGTATAAATGAAAATATGAATGGAAAACTATGTTTGTACTCCCAACAAAAAATAATAAAATGAAAAATGATTATGATTACGATAGTGATGGATGTTGCATAAGTTAATCACCCAATTTGTATGATTTCATTATTCATATGCCGTCTCCTTTAGGCAACCCAATGCGCTGTTAATAAAGGTCACCTTAGACACAGCGATGTGAATGACATTAATGCGTAGACTTTGGCATTTTTGTGAAAGTGGTAGAGTAAGCAATTATATGAAGCTTCACTTGGTTTCAAAAGGCATACTCCCTTCATTTTTTATTGTTCAAGAAACTACTACTTTTAATTTATATTTTTTATAAACAAAATCATCCATTCCAATAATTATTTATTACACATTTCATAAATTGTTCCTCATAATTTATATTAATGAAAAACAATTAATGTATATTTATGTTGATTAACACAGGGAATTTTAGTCCACTTATTTTATTTTCAAACATAATTATTATAGTTAATAAACTTTCTTAAATTATGTGATACAGTTTTTTTTCTCTTATATATAAAAATAGAATGAGTATGTTGCTGATGTCATCTTAAATTAATAACAAGTGCAATTTAAAATATTTTATTTAAATAATCCTTGAATGTGATTCTCTCTCTGTTTTTTTTTTTAAATGGATGAAAATGTTAACAATCGTGTGTGTCTGTGTGTGTGTGTGATTGCATTGCTTGCAAACCTACCAAACTCTTCAATTTTAAGTGGAAATAGCAACTTGCTCGGGTTCCACTAACTCTTGCAAAACATATATAAATTCAACATAATTTATTAAGAAATTTCAGGAACGACTTTTTATGATACGTTTAGATAGGTAAATGTGCCTAAGTACTTCCTTTCAAAATGGGTTCCCGTGAGAAAATTTTATTGACTAGAAGTGTGATATACATTGAATATCGAGAATAAGATGTGATGGTCCAACTAATACAAAGACTTTGCTCAAAATTAAATAAACTAGCACTATTGATCACATCATAATTGAATCTCTTATGTTCAAAGTTATTAATTAATGTTAACATTATTATACGCCAAAAATTTGAATAGTCTCATTAACTTATTGATGTTTTTAATAAGACATTCACTTAGTTATTTGTTTGTCCTAAATATGTACACATAAGCACTGCAACAAAAACAAAAAGGGTTAAATGATAAATTTGCCTTGAAATCATGGTTTGAGAGTTTAAAGTTAAATGTTTAACATTTCTCTTCAGTGAATGATCTTTAATTTTATGTCACACTCAGATGAATTAATGAGTCATGAACAAGGAGCAGTCGAGAATTATCTTACGGAGAACTTTCAAAATAGGTCCCAATTTGGCCAAAGGTGTCATACCTATATGTCGATATCTAGAATAGGATGTGTTGGGCAGCAAAGACTTTTTTTTTTTTTGTTCAGAAGCAAATGAACATCACATCTAAGATACTTGTCAACAAAGCATTGAATTTCTCACCATTACTCTCAATAATTAATGCTACTATTATTTAGAAATCAAGAATCAGCATAACCTCATCCACTCGTTTGTTTTAATATTTTTTAGTGAATATCTTAAATTGGGTTGAAGGTTTTTGCGCCTTAACCAGTGTTTTGAAAATTAAACCGGATCGGAGGGTCCAACTGCCGACCAGCCACAGCAACGGCTCAGTTCTCTTAAAAAAAAAAAAAAACCATTGTTGTGATCGAATCGAATTGGACCATATTGAGCTGAGAATAGACCGGAAAACTGCTATTGGACTATAACCCGGACCTGATGGTGAGATTTTTTTCTAGTGAGAGAAGAGAAGAGGGAGCTTCGATGAGAAAGAGAAAAGGGCAGAGATAAGAAGGGAGAGGAGGAAGATTTTTTATGTATTAAAGAAGAAACAACTTACTGATAAATATTGAAGAAATGACGAAAGCTTGTCATCGGAAATGGAAAAGTCGGACATTACAAGAGAGGAAGAAACATACTTCGCTAAAATGAGGACTCTTTCCGGACAAGATGAAGGGTAAAGATCGGGGAAAGTTTAAAACTTTTGAAAATCATGACCTTCTCACTTTTTTTTTTATTCTTGCACGTCTCCTTCTGACATTCATGGAAAATGATAAAGGTTAAAGACGTAGAGTCTAATATCCAATGACCTGACTTTTTATTATTAATTAAATGTATATACATGTATATATACTAAATATTATATATAATATTTTTATTTAATTATTGTATCACCATCTTAACTGTTTGGTCTAACAGGTTAGACCATGTAAACTATAAACCACTAGCTTTTCTAGTTTATTGGTTAGTCCGGTTTTCAAAACATTGCCTTTAAGAATACAATTATAAGCTTTAAACTTACATGTGGTGTAATTTCTCATTTAACATTTGTAAATGGTGCATTCGAAATCCTGACGTTCAAAAAAACTTAATTTTGATTATTAATTGACTCAAAAATTGTCATGAAGGACATCAAAAACTACAAAAAATATCCAAAATATTACACAAAAGTACACTATAAGAAAATTAATACTAATTGAGTTCCCTATATTACATATTGACAATAGGATGCAAATGTTACTTCTTAGCTTAGATGTTCAAGGCTCAAACTTAGGTAGACTTGAGTGATAAGTTGGAACTTGTGAGAATTCCTCTAGAAGTCATGATGATGAGTAGGAACAAAGACTCAAGTTGTAATAGCTGAACACATACTCATGATGATGATATCTTGTCCTTGCGAGGATGAGAGGTCCATAACCTTGATTAACATTGGCACACTGAAACTCACCTATCACTATTGAAACTCTCATGTTCTAAGTAATCAAAACTAAGCTCCTTTATATACCACTCTAGTACTCACATGTCTCAAACTAAAACTTGCGTGTTTGAGCATCATAGAATCAAAGGCATTTTGTAACTCAAAAACTTATGAGGATACCTCCAATACTTGTGAGTATGAGATGCAATATCAAAGAGCAATCTAAGAAATTCGCTCTGCATGACACGTGTTCTCACTAGAACTCATGAGGATTAGATTAAAATCATGAAATGCACAATTTTTTTTATTTTCAAAACAATGAGCGTGTATAAGATTTATCTTTAAAAATGTTTTACCACGATATGCAAATGCAAGTTCTCTTATTTAACTAGTTTTTAACAATTAGAATAGAACATAAAATTAAACCTATAAAACTAAGTCTTATCTTATTCTTTGCTCTCTTGGATTGGTTTTGTCATAAGCAATGTTATAATCTGCACAAACAAAAACTTTTCTCAAGTTTTGTTTTAAGTATTTAACATGTAGTGTGCTTTTATTTATTGTTTTCATTTTTATTTTTTATTTTAATAAAATTAAATAGGGAGAATATACCTAAGGAAATTGATTGGATGTGACATATTCTCAAATCAAATCTAACACAACATAAAATTTCACTACAGTATGCTGGGCTTGAATTGAAATAAATTATAAAAGAAAATGATTAAAATATCCTTATTTCAATATGTTGTAGCGAAACGAGTAATATAAGATAATTAACTTGTAAAATAAAGCTTTTAACAAGTAAAATATCCTTATTAAATCTTCTCTCATTCTTTCACATTTTTTTATTTAATGGAAAAACACATTCATTGGCTTACATAGTTTTCTTGGATTTTGCATTTAAATCTTATAGCTTTTTGTCCCCCGTTTTTTCAATGACCAAAGGAACAAATGTCACCCAAACTTGCTGAAACTATAGAGATTGAAAAAAATTGAAAAAACTATAAAGATTAAAAACAAAATTCAATAAAATTATAAGAATTGATGATTGTATTTTTCTTTATTTAACTTTAGTTTCAACAAATTTAGAATATATTTTTATTATTGTTATTATTTTTAATTTTTTATTTCAAATAAAAAGTATGATAGTTACAATATATTAAATAAATTAATAACCGGCTTGACCCTGGTTACATCATTAGCTCTTAAATCAGTCTTTTAATCAATTCAATAACCAATCTGATTTTGAATAGCTTGCTTTGCAGTAATTACTCTATCTTGTGGTCCTAAATCATATGCCTACTTGTATCGTTTTTGTCGGTCATTCTCTCTCTCTCTCTATTTTTTTTTTCGGTAGTGTTTGCTGAATCTGCCCCAAATCCACTCACATGAAATATCCAAAAGATATTTGGGGCCCAAAGCCGATCCCATATCTCTACAAGAAAAAGATGCCTGGCCTTCTCCCTCTGTATAATTCCTCTTGTTTTTGTCTGTATCATCATCGACACATTAGTTTAGCTTCAGAAAGGAGCTCCTCCAGCAATGAAGTTTTCACTCCTTCCCATCATTGCTTTTTACATGGTGAGCTTCGACTTCCTTTCTTGTTTTCACTTTTTCTTTTTTTATATTTTTCCTAGTGAATGAGTATTTAATTTACATTTTATATATGAAAATGCAGGTTGTGCTGGATGCTGCGCATGAAACCTTATTACCTTCTGAACTTTATTGGAAGTCCATGCTTCCCACTACTCCCATGCCTAAATCCATCAGAGATCTCCTCCATCCAACTGGTTAGTATTTTTAACGTTTGTAGGCACCTTGTTCATGCAAATTTTGAAACTCATATGACAAACACAGCATGCTTCTTTTCAGCCATGAATGAAAAACCTGACCTGACCACCAATTAAACTGGCAAATTGGCACTCAGGTAACTACAGCTTAAGGACTTCATTGATTTATTTATCTCTAATATTACCTCTGTTGCTTTTTTTTTTATATTGAATCAAACTGTTAGAGCTTATATTAAAGGAAGTACGGATTGCTTATATTAAAGCCATACAAGATATGTATAAGGGGGTAAAAACTAATATAAGAACGTCTAATGGTCAAACAAAGGATTTTCCTATAAAGATTGGACTACATCAAGGATCATCTCTGAGTCCTTATTTGTTCAACTTGATTTTAAATGTTTTGACAGAACATATTCAAGAGGAAATCCCGAAATGTATGCTCTTCACGGATGATATAGTTCTTATAGCAGAGACAAGAGAAGAGGTTAATTGCAAACTTGAGTTATGGAGGAGGACATTAGAGTCGAAAGGTTTTCGTCTGAGTAGAAGTAAGACGGAATATTTATATTGTAAATTTGGTAAAGGACTATTCGACAATAATTTGGAAGTGAAATTGGGAGATCAAATTATACCTCAAGTGGAAAAGTTTAGATATTTGGGAGCCATTATTCAAAATGATGGCGAAATCAGTGGAGATATTTCACATAAAATTCAAGCTGGGTGGTTTAATTGGAGAAAAGCTAAAGGAGTTATTTGTGACCGTAAGGTGCCTAATAAACTTAAAGGAAAGTTTTATCGCACTGCTATCAAACCGACAATGTTATATAGTAGTGAATGCTGGGCTCTAACGGGACAGCAAGAGCATAAAGTTAGAGTAGCAGAGATGAAAATGTTACGATGGATGTGCGCACATACACGTAAAAATAAAATTCGAAATGAGCACGTACGCGAAAAAGTGAGGGTGGCACCTATTGAGGAAAAAATGGTAGAAAATCAGTTGAGATGGTTTGGGCATGTACAAAGAAGACCAAGGGAGGAACCAGTGAGAAGAGTGGAACATATAACTTTGAGTCCAATTAAGAGAGGTAGAGGAAGGCCTAAGAGAACACTCTTGAAAGTTGTTGAACGCGATCTCTTAATTAATAATATTCCTAAAAGCTTGATAAATGATAGAGCACAATGGCGTCTTGCAATCCATGTAGCCGACCCCACCTAGTGGGATAAAGGCTTGTTGTTGTTGTTGTTGTTGTTGAATCAAACTGTTGTTATCATGCCATGTAAAATACTCATTGAATGAGTGAATTTGTGCAACTTATTAAATCCAAATCCATTTTGATTTAAGTGCTGATAGTTAATGCTGGCAATAAAGTCAGGTTATGGCACCACCGTCCACAGACTGAATACAGACTAGAAGATATATTGTTATAAGAACAATGGGAACAAACTACACGATAACGACAACATAGCTCTCTTCTTCTTAGAGAAGGACTTGAAGGCTGGTCACAGAATGAACTTGTTCTTCACGCAAACCTCCAATCAAGCACCTTTCCTGCCTCGAGAAGTCATGAAATTCATTCCCTTTACTTCAAGCAAAGTACGTAGTGTTAGAATCATTCTACCATGTCTGTGAACATTGATATTCAGAAACTAAGAGAGGAAAAATAGATAATTTATGTATCTGTAATTCTTTACTAATAGATGGCTGAGATATTGAACAAATTCGTTGTGAAGCCCGGGACAGTAAAAGCTGAGGTTATGCATAATACAATTAAACTTTGTGAGGAGTCAGGGATTAAAGGAGAGGACAAGTATTGTGCCACTTCATTGGAATCCATGGTTGATTTTATCGCTTCCAAGCGTGGAAGACACGTGGAAGCTTTGTCTACAGAAGTGGTGAAGGAAACGAAAAAGCAAGAGTACACAATAACGCATGGAGTGAAGAAGGTGGGAGCAGAGACGAAAGCAGCAGTGTGCCACAAGCTTAATTATGTGTATGCTGTGTTCTACTGTCACAAAATAGAGAACACAGTCACCTATATGGTGTCGTTGAAGGGGGCTAATGGAAGCAGAATGAAAGCTGTAAGTATATGTCATAGAGAGACGTCACAGTGGAATCCAAAACATTTGGCCTTCCAAATGTTAAAAGTGAAACCAGGGAGTGTTCCTATATGCCACTTCATTTTTCAAGACACCATTGTGTGGGTTGAAACATAAATTAGGTGAATTCACATATTAGGTGAATTTCACTACTCACTCACTCTTCTTCTTGACTTGTTGTGACTGGTGAGTAAATGAGAGAGAGAGAGAGAGAGAGAGTACGCGCGCATTTGTAGATGATATATCTTGTTTGTGTGTTATTTAAATAAGCTTTCTATCAGTTATTTTCTTTTAGTACTGGCCATCACAATAAAAGAGCAAAAACAACATGCACTTTTGCCTTGGGCATGCAATTTCAATCTTCTCTGTAGGCACAAATTTGATTCTCTAGAATGCATTTAAATTATAATAGAAGTAAAAGAGACGTTTTGTGCAAAACAAAAAAGTGAATCTCACATAAGAGAATCCATTTATAAATTACACAACTTAGCAACACATAAAAATGATGGCTCAACATATCTTACAGTAGTGGAGAAATTAATAGAAAAATTTGCCAAAGATCTACCATAAACAACTAAATATTCAAACCCATAAAGTTAAGGGTTAAGTTCAATTGATCACTCTAAAAAGGGTGGCATAATGTCAACCTTAAGTATTAACATTGATGGAATGTTACTGCTTCGTTAATAGATTGTCATTTTGACAATTAGTGAATGGGAAAATTACATTTAAGACTCCAAAAGTTACAAATAAGATTTTTAAAATAATGAAAATTAAAAATATTATAATTTTAATCAAAATATAAGTTTAATCACTAATATAAATGAGTGACGTTCTACCCTCATTTAGTATAACATCTTAAATTTCCAATCACTAGATAATAAATTAATTATAGGTAACTTTGAGGCATAGGAAGGAAATTTTTATGCGCATAAAATTATTGGATATTTATTAAGGACTCGAAATTTAGAAAATAGATAAAGTATAGGATTTAATTCCTAATAAAAATAATAATAATAATTAATAAAAATGACATATACATAAATACATACATACATACATATGTATAGTGGGTAAATAATTAAATAATTGTATATATTTAGAATAGGGGAAAGAGACAAAAATACCTACAAAATCATCGACCAAGAGTATCCAATAACTTAAAATATGAAAAAAGACAATAATATTCATAATGTTACCTAGATTGGTGCAAGAGTTACCAATCCATTAAATTTCTCAAACGTTGACCATTTAGCTGACACCTAAATAAATGTTGACCAATTTTTTCATTGGTGTGGACTAAAATAAGGGCAAAAATACCAACAAAATCATCAGTTAGGGGCATCCAGTAGCTTAAAGTGAGTAAAAAGGTAAAAATACCCATAATGTCATTTTAGTAGGTGCAACAGTGACCAATCTATCAGATCTCTCAAACGTTAATGGTTTAGCTGACACCTAAGCAAAAATTGATCATTTTTTCATTAATGTGAACCATAAAATATTCCCAAGTAGAATTCTGCAAAGGCTGTTTGGTCATTGCATGATGATAAGTCTCTACTTGAGGCTCTATTTTGAGGGTAGGAAAATTTCATTTTGACTTTTGACCTAATAACAAGTTAAATCATTGCTTCTTTAAAATTTTGTATCATTAAAGCTTCTTCTTCATGATCCAAAGAGATAAAGGAAGTTCGCTGCAACTCAATTTTCTTTCCAATCATCAATTTCTCTTGCTTTCAAATGCATTTTATGATCTTTCATCCACGTCAAATTTCACTCTTTAAGTGGTGGAAGGTGAATTTAACTACCTTGCCTCTTTTCTCTCATCTTGTGGCAACGAATCCATGTTTCACTTTTATGTATACAACACTTGGACTTCAATGAATTAAAAATTTACACAAGAAAAGTTGTAACTAGTTGTTCCATTCTAGTCATTGCCAGAAAAAGTAGTTATTGCTTAAACTAAAGTAATATGTAATATTTATTTTTTTAATTTTAAACAAGGGATATTTTAATTATTTCACAAAAAATCATTAATGTCTAAAAGGTTCCTGGAGGCTTGAGAATAATCATGACATTTTATGAGATTTCATTGTCACTTGCATAGTTCAAAGAGTTAAAGTCCATTTCCTCTTGTACTTTCTTTGGAAGAGCATTAGGCACCTGTACTAGCAAGTGGAGGCATTTTTTCCCCTAAACCATTTTCCATAAGACCAAAAATCTGCCTCCATTAATGGATCATTAATAGGGGAATTTTTGCTCTTCTAAAAATAGTTTAGGTGTAATAACCCAAGAATTAAAAAAATTAAAAATTAAAAAATATAAGTTGGTGTTTTAATTGTAGATATATTAATTTTTAGACAAATGTAACAAGAGGAGAAGTTGATCTAGTGGTAGCTATACAAATACTTTTCTAATGGGTTCCAAGTTTGAATTTGGCTAACACCAAGGAGAGTTTTATTATTTTTTTACTTTTTGAAAATACAAAATTGCCCTCCTCATCATCTAATAATTAAAAAAAATCTTCCTCCTCTTCGTTCATTTTTTCTCCAGAAAACTTGAGAGAGAGAGAGAGATAGAAGCTCAGATCTGATCAATCAATCATTCTTCCTCTATACCTTTACCTCTTCCTCTCCATTCATAGCGTCTGCCACAGCTCTGTCCACCACTAATTTGTTAAGTTGTGGTTTTTGTTTTCTTCTTCCTTTTCTATACCTTCACTGTCTTCTCTTCCATTTTAGCTATCCTTGGGGCCGGTGTGAATGACCACCATAGCTTTATCTGTCCACCATTAATAGGTGCTGGAGTTTGTTCATCGTCGTTGTGCATTTGCCAAGATCCCTCTATTCTCCCCCACTCCAGCTCATGTTTAATGTGAATTACTGAGCTTCTAGTCTACTGTCGTTGTTGCTGGAGGTTGAGGATGGTCAAAAAATTTTAATCTTGCAACCCCTCTATTTGTGCATCATTGCAGATGCCGCTGTTGGTGTGTGAGTACTTCTTCTTCATTTTCAATCAGCTTTCTTCTCTAACTCTTCTTTATTGTTGCTGATTCATGTTTGAAGTTTTGCACCCTTCATTTTGCTAACTTCGTGTATAGGTATTCTAATGGTTGAAATTATAAAATTTTTAGTGTGTGTTGTTACTGCTATATAAAAAAATACATGGATGTATACGAAGAGGAAGTTTGATTTTTAAATTGAAATTTGTGGTTATATAAGGAAGGAGTTGATAGTATGGAATTGAGCTTGTAATTGAAAATGATTGAATTAGTGATATTGTAAGATTTTAGGGAAGCTAAAATATAGGAGGAAAATGCTAATATTAGCTTGATAGTTTATGCTCATATAGTGTTTGATAAAATTCCTAGTAAGAGAGTTGGCTTGATTTTGAATTTTTGAAATTTAATTGGTCTTTGTGAGAAGTATGCAAGCACAGAAATTATGGATCTATGAATTAACTTCAGATTGCAAAAGAATTTAATTATTAATTTATATGTAACCATTAAAATTCTTAGGAATTGTAAGGTTATTAGTAAATTGTTGGATGTTTTGAATTGAATGGGTAGAAATAAGGCACCTAAGGTGTTTGGTGCAAAGCTTAAGAGAAAATTTTTCCTCAAATAAGTGGATTGTTTTGATAGAAGCAAATTGGAGAAGATTAGTGATATGAATGATAAAACTTAAACTAACTTTAAAACATGAATTTTGGTTCTGCAATTTAAATGATAATGGTTGATTGGAATTGTATTAAGAGTAGAAGGCTTTATAAATTAAAGAAAATTTATTAAATTTTATTTACTCATGTCTTTATAGGGTATGTGGAAGAAGAAAATCCTGATAGAAATTGAAAAAAGAATATTTTGAGAATTTGAGACTTCAATGAGTAAGTGAATAGCATTCCATTTAATTATTTATTAATAATATTTTATTAAAATATTTTATTTGTATGAATTATGTTAGTTTTAGAAATTTTGGAACAATGATGAAGGATAATTATATTATGATATGTGCATTTCTTTTTCCTCAAGAAACATATCTCTAATATTGATGAAAGCACCTTTGTTTATTAAATTTTGAAATTTTTTGGTTACGCAATTAATGCAAGTTTGTACATTTACTATGATCTATCAATTTGGCAAGTTTTATATATTTGAAACAATTCATGTGAGTTTGATATTGAGAATGAAAATTTGATTTCAAAAATAAGTATTTCAATCACATCTTTGAAACGTGATTTTTAAGAGGACTCTATCCAAAACACTGCTACTAACGACAATTCCATTAGCCCATGGCGCGCTGTGGTTAATAATTAGTTAGTTTGTTTCATGAATTTTTTTCCTCATGTTTGTCATTTGTGGGCTTCGTGCCCGTATTTGGTTTTCGTGGCCTTGAGCTGTGTTTGGTTAACCCTTGTAGATTGTGTGTGCATGTTTGTTTCATAGCTCAGGCTGCGTTTGGTTACTTATTCTCATAGACTATGTGTCCACTTTTTTTTATGACATAGTCGTGTTTGGTTATTTTACTCTTGTGGACCATGTATCCACATTTGTTATTTGTCCTGTTAAGTTCTTAAATTTTAAATTTCTATTAACTTGGGTTTCTAAAATTTCATTGCTTTTAGTTAGTAAATGCATTACTTTGATTTACATATGAGTAATTTGTTTTCTTCAAGCATGATAGAATAAAGCAATTTCAGTTCACTCTCAATTTATGGTTATGTTTATGATTTATAGATTTGTTAAGTTTATCTTATTGGGGATGCTATTCACTAGAAAATATTTTAATCTCAGATGCACTAGTTGACACTAGATCTCTTGTCGATCATTAAGGGACTTACAACTAAGCTGGGTAATATTTATCTTTGGAAGTTCCTTTTCTTTTGATGTAAAAATTAAATGATGTATTTTATTTTGAGATTATATTTTAGGTGCTCCACGTTAACTATAGATAGGATCTTGATTTTATTTTTTTAATGTTGACTATTTATTACTAGGGAATGTAGTTCTAAACTGTTGATTACATATAGTAATATTTTCTGTTATGGAGATTTTGAGAGATTCAATCTATAAGGGAGGTTTTGTCAAAATTTTTATAAAAACATTGAAACTTTCATTATAGCAAATACTATTAAGAATGTCGTAATTTCATTATATAAACCTAATTATGTTTTGAAAATTGAAAAAAATTCTCAATTTAAGGCTTAAGGGATGTGTGATACAATTCACATCCCTTGCTAGTCATCCTCTATTTTTGGAGCGTGACATTAGAAAAAAAAAAATTGCCTCCTTGTTTGTATAGGAGATGCCCAACGCTCCTCAAAAAACAGTACAAAGATAAAAATGCACTTTAACCCTATATATGAAGTATAAAATCTCTCTCACTCTCTCTATGTATGTATGTATGTATGCATCTATGCTTTTTCAGTCATGTTGGCCTTTAGATATATATGAATAGTAAAAGAATATCCATTTTTGTGTTTTTTTAACCTTTTTTTGGGTATTGTTGTAAATAGATTAAAGTCAGTGCATACCCTAAATTATTCGTCACCGCTAACATATCTTGACGGTTCAATTAAACTCAAAGAATTAGTGGCCACAAAAGTTTCTTGATACAATTAAGTTCTTTCTTTACAGGACCTTTCATCATAAAATCAATAGCTACATTACATATCTGTGAAATTGTATTACAGCATAAAGTAGCTAGGACTAAAAATAGGCTTAATATTTTAGTATAATTTCCATTTGTGTCATGGAAGTCTTGAAGGATATATTTCCTTATTGCATTTTTATAGTCAATACAAATTGCACGATCATAATCTCATGAACTAAAGGCTCTTTTTTTTCATTACTTCTATGATCCATGCAAACAACTTTCTCATTCTTTTTCCATTCACTTGTAAATGTAGAAGTAAGAGTTGAAATATAAAAAGATAATGACACCAAGAAAAAAGACCACAAATGCTCCTCCAAAACTCCATAAGAAAACTTCTCGGAAGTCATCTTCTTTGGAATGAAATGGATGGATGTGTCTCCCTACTAGTTTATCAATGGATGAACAATTATGCTGCAGAGGTGGGCCACAAAGAAAAGGGTTACCTTCATAACAAGTTGGATCAAAAGTTGAAAATTGGTTTTTCCAGTCAGGCACCCTACCGGATAGATTATTGTGAGCCACAGAAAAGGCAGACAATGAGTACAACTGTGTTAGTTGGGGAGGAATATGTCCCATTAATTTGTTGTATGAAAGGTCTAAACTTTCTATTTGATTAAGGTCAGAAAACGTTTCAGGAATAGACCCGGTCAAATAGTTGTTTGACAAATTTAAGGCATGGACAGTGTTCAAGTATCCAATTTGTAACGGGATTTCACCTGTCAATTGATTATCTGAGAGATCTAGGCCTGACATTAACTCCAACACATTTCCCTCATAAGATTCATACCTGCTTTTTGACATGAAGTTCACTTCTTGTTCCTCATACCATGTAAAATTCCTTATGCTTTCTCTTTGGTCAAGCTCACCACTTGTATAATTAAAGACAAATATTGGGCCTTTTGTAGTCCAGGGAACAAAATATTTTCCTATGGTGGTCCCACTCATTGCATCCGTCCTTCTAAATGTGATGTTATCCAAACAATATGGTATACCTCCAGAAAGCTTGTTTTGTGATAGATCCAATATGCTTATGTTCTTAAGGTTACACACATCTAAAGGAATGGAACCTTCAAGCTCGTTTCCCTTTAGGAGGAGGACCCTTAAGTTTGACATTGACTTTAACCACCTCGGAATTTGACAAGAAAATCTATTCATTGTCAAATCCAAAGTTAACAGCAAGGGAGATTTGGCTAAAACAAAAGGTACGGGACCCAAAAAATAATTGCCCCGTAGATGTAAGTACCTCAGTGATGGCATATTTAGACAGCTTGGCAAAGTGCCATTGAATCTATTTTGTGAAAGGTCTAGGTATTTCAGCTCAACTAAATTGCAAAAACTTTCTGGTATTAGACCTGCCAAAGAATTTTGGGACAAAATGAGCAAACCCAAATGCTTAAAGTTTCCAATCCAGCTAGGCATTTCACCATATAATTGGTTGGCACTTAAATCCAACATTCTTAATTCGGAACTATTAATAATTCCATTTGGTACTTTTCCTTTAAATCTGTTGTTGCTTAGATCAACGGACAACAAATGCGTGAAATTTGAACCTATTGGTAAACATGGACCGGTTAAATTGTTGTTTGACAACTTTAGAAACCTCAAGTCATTGATACCCTTACCAAATTCTTGGGGAAAATATCCGGACAAATTGTTATTGGACAAGTCTAGCGAGTTCAATTGCCTCATGTCACCAAGTGAAGCTGGAAATCCACCCTGTAATGAACTCGAAGACATGTTCAAAGAAAGCAAGTTGGGGAAAACTGTGCCAATATGAGGAGGAATTTCATCATTAATAGGGTTAGCAGAAACTTCAAAATGTTGCATATCAAGTAATCTTGAGGTGTGGTTGAGCTCAAAAGGACCAGTCAAGCAGTTGTAATTGAAACTCAGAGAATTTAATTTGGTGTTGTTTGTAAAAAGCCAGTGTGGGAAGCTTCCTGAAATATTTAAACGGGCAAGTTCTAGAACTCTCAAGTCATATTGATGATGAAGAAAAGAGGGTATAGTTCTGTGATTGCTTGCTTCATTCATAGTGCATTTGACAATCCTGAAAATCTTTAATTGGAAAGATGGGAGAAATTGGGGATTTTCAGTTTCAAGCTTGAGATTGGGGTTATTAGAACATGAGATCGAGAAGAGTTGAAGGTTTGAGTGGTTGGCAAACAGAGAAAACGATGCTGTGCCAGTGAAAGAGTTTCCTCCAAAGAGATGAATCTCAGTGACTTTAGAGAATGAAAGAGTGAGGAAGGGAAGCTTCCTTCAAAACCATTGTATTGAAGATCAATTGTACGAAGAGAAGTCAAATTACTGAGGCACGAAGGAAGGAGTCCCTTAAACTTATTGCGGCCAAGAGACAACATTTTCAGATTCTTCAGATTGCATAAGCCTCCTGCAACATATATATATATATTTTTAATTCATTTACTCTATATACGAGTCTTTAATTAATGGTTTTCAAACAAATAAAAAACAACACTTAAGCGATAGCTTAACTTTGATATTAAGTAATCGGCCTTTTTAAGATTGTATGGATTAACTAATTTAGGTGCAAATTCAACTTAATAAATGCATTCAGATTAATATTTAAGTTACAAAAACCTCGACTGCAAGCCTGAAAGTGAGTGATGTATGAACAAATTAATCAGATACATTTAAATCCCAGAAAATGTAACTCCAAGGTATAAATAAATGAAGACTGCATAGAGTTACTCAGGGCTAATTTAGATGGTAAAGATGGAGTATGGTAAGATGCTTGTAAAGATGTAAGGCGAAATTTTTATTTTGATGCATGTATTGATCTCAAATTTGGGAAAATTATAAATAATTATGAGAAATTTATTTACAAATAAATTTACGAATTTTTAAAAATACACTAAGATCTTAAGGGACTTGATTGTAATTAATTTACCATATAAAATGACACCAATGCCCTTGAACTCCCCCATTATTAGACTGGTGCTGACTGGAGTTAACCGATCATTGGCCATCATTGACCGGTCAATAGACTTGTATTTTTCAACCAATTTTAAATTTAAAAGTTGATTTGAAAAACATGGCTGGATAAATTCTCTCTCAGTTTAATCTAATCTTAGCGGTGGTATACTCGCGTAATAAATGAATTTTACTGAAAATGCTATAAATATAATACCTTGCTGTGGCAATGAGCCTGAAAGGCTATTGTTATAAAGTGACAAGATCCGCAAAGAGGTTAGAAATGTAAGAGATGTATGAGATTCTGAAAGACCAGCCTCTGAGGAATTCAAAGACAATTTCGAAGTCTTCAAATTGCGGGAATGAGAAACATTATCTGTCAAATATGAAATGGAAATATTCAAAAAGAATCATACAATAATAAAGAAGTAAACAAATGCATGTGTAAGTTTTATGTATTTTCTTTTCTTTCTTCCATGCCATATATTCTTTTCCATTACATTCCTTGTTTAAAGTCTATTCTTTCCTTTTGGCCAAACAAACGAAAAAAAAAACGTCTATTCTTTCCTTACCGCTGGTGCTGCTATTACTTATTTATATATAGATGTCAAAATTTTTAATCAAGTTAATTGCTAAATGATTTACTAATCTTTATTTTTTTTCTCCAGTCATGTTTCCATCATATATGTTAAGTGAAAACGTCATCTTTTTCAACTTTCCATATTCTCAACGATTTCTAAAACCAAACTTCAATTGATTTTTCAAAAAACAAGAACCAATATTGAGGAGTGAAGTAACAAAAAACGGCATCTAAAATAAGTTCGAAAATTAAAATTAAGCACCAAAGAACGGCATTTCCGTGAGCTTATTATCTTCCAGATACAAAGTTTGCAAGTTGTCCAGTTTAAGTTCGCCAAATAACCCTGATCCAACAACACAAAAATATCATCAGTTAATCGTAATGTTATAGTAGGTAAAAAATTTCATAAAAAAATTCATATAATTAATATCCGTCATCCAATAGGTGTAGCATGAAGTCACAGGTTGAACCCTAAAAGCATTACTTTGAAGTTACCTTTTGCCCCTTTTATTTCATTATATATCAAAACTGGTGAGATTTGGGATAAGCTATGTCTCATGAACTATTTAGACGCTTAAAAATAGCAGTGTTTGCGTGACACTTTTTGCGTCTGTGTTATAAATATGTACGTGAGTCATAAAATCATAATCATAAGCCATAAAATTGCCCCAGAGGAGAGAAGAGAGAGACCTGACAAGTAATTTCCAGACAAGTCCAATACTTGAAGGTGGTGAAAAGGGAGAAAATAAGAAGCATTCAATGACCAGTTGATGTCTTCAAACTCTTGAGCTCTTACATAGTCCAGAAGAAGGCTTGTCACTCTCTGAGTGGAGTTGTCACAGCTGATTCCCTCCCAGCTACAACAATCAGAACTGGTAAGGTTTTTTCAAGAAGGGAGAGACGAGCTGTTTGGATGATTGAAGGCTTCTTTCAGTTTGAGAAGAGCTTCTCTCTCTTCTACCAAACACGCCTTACTTCCATCATTAAACCCTAATATTATGATAACAGCCACCACCCACCACACTTGTTCTCTCACTGAAAATCCCATTCTTAAGTATACTTTCTTACTTTTCTTCAATCTCTCGCAGTTTCTTCAACTGTGTACTCTCAAATCTTTATAGGCCGTGAGAATAAAGGTAGCCCCCTAATGAGTCAACCAAGATGGTCCCCATACGAAATGGTCCAACAATTTAGCAATAATTGAAGTTGAAATGGTCGCCTCTAGCATTTATATATTAAGTTTCGCAACATCTAAGTCATTTATAATTTTTTTTTCAATTGCTCATAGGTATTTTGCTATTAGAAACAATTATATTTAAGACACGACATTGTACATTAATGTGAGCATTTCTTCTAATAAAGATTAAACTTTAATTCGTTACGTTGTGAGGGACTAACCCTTTTTATTATATTCTTAACTCTCGTAGGTGAGTCCTTCATAATTTGATAATTGGTGTTTCAACATTTTTGTTTTACTTACAAAATTTCTACGTGTTAAATGTAAGCCACAAATCTTTTAACTATAAGGGTTAAGATATTATTAAATCACACATAATAATTTTTTTTAATTACTTGCTGTCGCTGTCACACCGACTTGATGATTGATTAGCCAATCAGAGATTGTCAAAGTGTTTTGTTCAAATGGTATTTTGGTCTTTCAAATATGGATAAAAAATGACACAAGTCTCTTAACATTTAATTATTGCGGTGTTTCACCATGATGATCATA